GCGCAACATGCATCCTCTCCGCAACCGTTAAAAGTAACAAAGATTAAATACGTCTTTAATCACAATTAGGAGTAGGACGCATTAAAGTTGATTATGGTTCTATCGTACAACCGTAATTTTCTTAAATTCTTAAATGCACTCAAGAGAATCATGAGTATCCCAACCGTGCCAGGCGATAATCACGAGTAGAATTATGGACTGTAGTGTCGGTGAATCTGGTAAAAACCTAATTGAGGTGAAGTAACTGTCTTTAGACCGTTTCATGCGAAAACATTGCCACGAGACTCAGAGTAGTCGATAATCTATGTTAGAGTTGTGTATGAGATTTCCAGAGATCATCTTACTTGAGTCTTGCGAATCTCAGGAAATCTGATGCTACGCCTAAACCAGGATAAACGAAGAGTCCAGACGCCACTCATTTTTTGAAAGACACATTGAGCTATCGTCCTAGAATTTTACATCTGCATTAGACCAAACTTTGGAGACTATTTTTTAAAAGTGGAATTGAAGTTGGAATTGGTTTGAACTGGTTAACATTTTCGTTGTTTTCGCCTGCTCAAATGCAAATACAAACTTCATTATGCCTCATGTTGTAGAAAAAAACCTGACGAACAATCGTATATATGCAAAAAACATTTAAAACAAATAGTTCTAGAACTAGACAGTTTTTTCAATGATTTTCAAAAAGAATTGTTGCATGCCTGTTTAAACAGCCTGTATTTTAGAAAATGATGTTCAAACTTTACGAAAATACGTCCCGTGATCTCCTCTATAAATCACTCCGAGCGAATAAACTGTGAATAGCAAACGATATTTTTTTACAGTGTATCGAATGGTGGAATCCGCATGTCTCCAACGCATTTCTATCAAAAGTGACTACAAAACATCTGCAATTACTATATTTTGCTTATTACTTTCTGCTACAAAGGATTTATAGCAGCGGGATTTATAAATATTTATCAAAGACTTTTCAATTCATCGGTAGAGGAAATGCATTTTTTGCCACGATTAGCCGGTTACACAGCACCTTTATTGCGGTTAAAGACTTATTTTAACCGTGGTGGTATAAGAGTAAGAATCTAAAGTTACATTTCTTGTTGAGAAGTTAACAACAATGAGAAATCAAGCTTTAACAAATTTTCAAAATTTTCAAACACAAATTCGACAAAGAACTCTATCGAACAATCGATCTTTATCCAGACGTCATTTTCAAGAACCTCAAAATCGTAATCATAGTTACAGGCGTGTTCGCCACGTTAATCCAAACAACACTGGAGAAAACGAAAGAACACTGTACAGGTCACAGCGAACGGAACAAACTGATACTAACACCCAAAGTCAGAACAGAGACAAGAAAGATCATAAAAATCCGCTATCCAATGCACCAAAGGATCAAAAAGGAAAGGTACCGAATGATGATAATAAGAACTCGAATAAAAATGATGGACAAGGAGATGAGATGAATAGCAGAGAAAACGTTGAAGCAGTGAACAAGAAACCAATAACAAGTTTAATACTGCCCTTAGAAGATGAAGATGACAATCAATTACTTTCAAATGATTGTAACGGCTTAACATTTCGGCGTAAACGTAAAAGTATGTGCATTTCTTACATCTTTTATTCGCCTATTACACACGATTCATATCAGCAAAAAACAAAAAGTAGGAGTAGAAGCAAGATTCTGAACTCCGCTATACGAAACCAAAAAGTCGTATAAAACTACTTTTGAAAATTAATCCGCGTTTTTTCTCACAAAACATACCATCCACTCCAGTGCGTTAGTTCTACTTCACCTGCTTATTTTTGTAGTTTTTCATGATTCAAGCATACGTTAATTAAGCAAAAGTTATTGTATTATCTGTATATTTTCTTCGAATTCTGAATGTGAAAATATGATGAATGGAAGACGGACTCGCATGCAGGATTTTCTGGAAAAAATATATTAGTGTGCTTTGTTTTAATCCATTTCGTAGAGAATTAAATTCTGCACATTTTGATTTTAAAAAAGTGCAATCACATAATTTTTCTTTTTCGAGGGAAGTAACATAGAGAGCTTAAAATATCAGAAAAGCAAACACATGAAACTCGTACATTATGATGTTACTGATAAAATGAAAATTTATAAAAACCTAGTAAAAATCCACCAAAAAATAAAATTTACTAGAAAAAGGAAACAACCTGAAAAAGTAGAAAGTATAACGAAAGTAGGACAAAGTAAAACATTTTTAGTAAAAAGCAGCAAAGGCAGGAAAAGTAGGATGTTTACAAAGCCTGATTACATCCGAAGTAGGGTTTTGCAAAAAAGAGCATTCTCAATACTTCTATGGGCATGTTATATATTATCGATTCGTTTTAGGCAGTAAAAAGAAGGATGACAATCGAGATGAAAGGGATTTTGATAGTGGTAAGAATTACTACAGATATTCGCTCAACTTTACCGTTAAAAATCTTAGATATCTCTTAAGAGGAAGAGGAAGATACAAAAGATAAAGAAAAAAATAATAAACAAAAGGCACTGGCGCTAGCACCTGGCAACAGCAGCGACGCCTTATCATTCCGGAATGGAGATAATAATATACTAGAAACAACAGCAATCGACGAACTTAGAAGACGTGAGTGTAATCATGAATTAAATAAATATCATTCGATAAAAACGACTGAGATACAACACGACCAAATTGCTAAAATTGCCAGTCATATCTTTGAGACAATGATGGATAAACTTAATCGATGCGAAGTGTTGCATGCTTCACGACTATACATAGTGGAGAAAAGTAAAATGAGGAAAATTGCTGATCGCCTAGCGCGATATGTCTATATAGATACTCAAAAGATAAGAGTGAAGCAAGATATGGCAAGTATCATTGGACACGTAAAGTCGACATCAAGATCAAACTATTTCGGTTAAAAATAGAAAGATGTATAGCTGAGAAGTAATGGCAAATACGTGAAATAAAAAATCAAACTAAACAAAAAAGAAGTCAACTAAAAGTCTCGTCATGTTCAATAATGTTTGGTTAGGAAGAGTATCCCTATGTCGTCTGTGCATCAGCAATTGTGGTTCTCAAAAAGTATGATGAAATTATCATGCAGTAGATACATACTTTGTTTTTCATATATTTTATTTTCTGTATGCGTGTAATTATAAATTATTTATTATTGTTAGATGAGTCTGATAACGGATGGCGCAGAATAAATCTCTTATTTTTTGAATTACTTTTTTATCTTAAACAGTTGCAGCTTCATTTTTGAATGTGAAAGATTTTCAATTCGGTTCGCTACGAGAGCGGCATGTATCACAAATGTGCTTCTTGCTTGTGGAGCAAATTAAGTGCAATGCTCTTTTAATAAATCAAGCTATGAGTTAGCATGCGCAGAATGACGCAAGAATCAACTTTCAAGCTAACATCGCCTACTACAAAAGTGTAATAAAAAGTGGGAAAATGTCAATCCGTCATACGTAGCCAAATCATGTTATCAAATTAACACAAAAAATCGAGACCCGATTCTTCTCGAGTACTGCTATAAACAATTTGAATAATAACGGATATTCATTAAAGAATTCATGATTTGTCATACTAAAACAACAGCAGACCAACATAAAAAATATGAAAGTTTGATAATTTAATCTTAATCTGTTCTTCTTTGATAAATCATGTTTGATTTTCGCCGGTCCAAATATTCTCAGAAGTATTGCCCTTATGAGGAAAACTATCCAAGTGATATCTTCCGACTGCGTTTGTTCATTCGTCGATCGATAGAGGGTATCGAGCTAGTAAAAACCCTAAAAGGATTTTTGCCCATGACTCTTGAAGACCCGTTTTTCTGGAAAATCAGTTTCTCAGAAACTCTAAAAATAACCAAAACCTTTCTTAATGAGGTCGGATTATAACCCACAAATTTCTGATTAAAATGAGATATCTCCCAGCTCTACATGACCTTTTTTTGCAAAGTTATCGAATTTACAAGAAAAGCCCTAAATGTTCGTTCACTAAATGCTCAAAGCTACAGAAATAGGAAATAAATTTAGGGCTTTTCTTGTAAATTCTATAACTTTCCAAAGAAAGGTCATGTAGAGCTGGGAGATATCTCACTTTAATCAGAAATTTGTGGGCTACAATCCGACCTCATTAAGAAAGGTGTTGGTTATTTTTAGAGTTTCTGAGAAACTGGTTATCCAGAAAAACTGGTCTTCAAGAGTCATGGGGAAAAATCCTTTTAGGGTTTTTACTAGCTCGATACCCTCTATCGATCGACGAATGAACAAACGCAGTCGGAAGATACCAATTGAATAGGTTTCCTCGTTAGCAGTAACGTTGCATAATTTCGAAACATCCAAATTTATGATGAAAATCCTTTGATGGAAATTAGTAAGACTCGTTCAGTATACGGCATCACATCATTTGCAAGATGAAAATTATGATAAAAAGAACGTTGCATATTATATGCATAAATGTAAACAGCAAAGTCTCGTACCTTACTTGATTCTCCATCGAGCAGGCATACCTTTTGGCTTTTTTCTTGTTGATTATCACCGATCGTATCTGGACCATTCTCTAGACTATCTTCAATACATTCGATAGGTAATTGAAATAATAGAGAACATATAGAACTGCAGTCAACGATGAGGTATAGGCTCGATCCATTTTCATGTTTTCTCAAGTAATTCCTATTTTACCGCCATAAATACTCAGGGTTGCCACCTCTTCTGATTTATCAGAATTTTTCTGACTTTGGGGGTTTTTCAGATCGCTTTCTGATTTTTAACTTTTTTAATTTATACTAGAGAAGATGGCATCTTCTGTCTGAAAAATAAAGCTGACGTAAAACATATATTTCTACATTACATGAGTTATCGGTTTGGCTAAGTGTGCTCGATTCTGATTCTGACGATAATATCCCATTGAACCGACTAAGAGCGATGAGTCATGCAAAAAAAATGACGATTTTTCTTTCGGTTTTTCTTTTTTTGAAAATTGGGAGTCTCTTTTGAGCCAAAAATAGCGATATATACGTTTCTTCGTTCTTCAAGAAATCAGAGTCAGATCTGACAGAATTCAAGAACATTCAGGGAGTTGTGGAATTAAAACAGGAACCAATGAAGAACAGCCGTAGAAGGGAGTTCATTATTTTTTTAATATGGCTACTTTTCAGGTTCTACACAATGTTTTAGCTGTAAGTTATCTTAGCCAACTTTTACACGACAATGAGTTAAGCGTTGCTTTCAAACTTTTGCAGTAGACTTTTTAGTCAATAACTTATTGTGCTGCTTTGAGGGGTGTTAGGATATTAAAAAAATGTGTAAAGTACTTTTCTCCGAGGAGAGGCTGGAGCATCGGTCTAGTTTTCATCCATCTTTAGTGATGTACGCTGCAATTCTAGGAAGTGTGCTCGGTTCTATATACATCGGTAGATCTCCACTGTTCCGCACTTCTTGACTGGAAAAACATTATTAAGGGGCTCCCACTCTCATGTAGCTTTCCCCTTCCCGCTTCAAGTGCTGAGACATAGAAAATAGGAATAGTAGAAAAGCTTGAAAAAGAGAAAAGTATGAAAAGGAAGCCTCCATAGGTGTGCAGATACAGCGTACCCGTAGCTTAAAGCTATACTATTCCGTGACTATATATCATATTACACATTTTTTTAGAAACACTGATCGATATCTCATGTTGTTTTAGATAAATGGAAGCTATTGGAATTAAAGATGAAAAACAAGAGATTGTAAATAATGATGATAACAGTACGGATGAAGAAGAATTTTATATAATGGCAGATACTGGAAATGAAATTGAACAATCGCTTATATTGAAACATGTTGAAAATGGTGATGTTCGTTCCGTCGACTTGGATGGAGATAATCCCTATCTACAAATTGGACCATTTACATTTCAAGGCCATTACGAGTATGTTTTGGGTACAAATATGTTTTTTACAACAACATCCACACCAATAAATCAAGATACCGATGATCATTCAAATCAAAATTTACAATTAATTGGAACAAGCGATAAGAAATTAAACTTAACTCGTTGTTATATTTATCCAAAAGAACAGATCACAACCACCACTACGAAGGATTAGTAATGAATGGTTGTTTCTATATATTTTTTTAATAAATATGTTCTTTAGTACAAAAAGAATAGATGATATACTGTTTTGAGCCAAATGTAGTAGTAGTACTTCCTCTCTCTCCTGCTGTGTGACTTGTGTAATCTAGAGGCATTGTGAATTACACTGTTGTTTCACGATATGATCTACGGCAAGAACTAAAGCCGTACAAAAAAAAAGTTAAAACACTGGTAAACTTTGATGTAATCCAATAAAAACTCTTCCTATTCATCTTAACTTTAAATTTTTATTGAGATCAATATAAGAAAAAGACGAGCACAAATCGAAAAATGAAACAAACTGTAGCTGTATTTGTGTACATGTCTGTGAGCATGTGTGTGCATTTCTTTTTCTACTAAAAAAAAGAAGATAAGCATTTCTGACGTTTTTCAAGTGATATAGTTATTTTTACATCCATGTTGTCAAACAACACTCTAAAAAAACGAGAACTTTTGTCATTTTAGAGCGAAAAGAAGAAGTATGTATCGTGTTTTTACATTACAAAGTATAATAATAATAATAATAATCATAAAAAAACAACACCAAACAGAGAGCAAGAGGAAGCAATGTATGTGTGAAGGAGAGAGAGAGAAAGGAGCACGGCACTTGTTGTTTCCATTAAAATAATAAAATTAGAGAAAAGATTTCATTAGTAGTGTATAAAAAAAAATAATGCAAACGACAACAACTACACATGTACAAAAAAAAAGAGAAACAACAAAACATGTTCTTTCATCCTCACACACAAGTCATAAATGCGTTTATTTATACAGGAATGATTTCGACAAACACACTGTTTTTCTGAGAAAAATCGCTGCCTGGATAAGAAAAAAATGTCTGATTTTTCGCTTTTCATCATCCATCATTTCTATCAAAATGTTTTCAAATAAGTTTATCTGCACATATGGCAAACGAGAGAAGAAGAAAAATCCTGCTTTCACGTACAAGTCGTAGTTCCTGTCCGATATCACAGTATCGAAGATATAGGTAAACGACAGCTGAGAACGAGATTACCATCAGACAAAAAAGAATCAAAGTAACAATAACAAATTGAGAAAGAAAGTTGTGTTCTCGATTGATATTCTACAACTAAAATTTACACTTGTCTATTAATATTATCCTCGGGTGACTGATCCTCGTAATCGTCTTCCTCTTCGTCTGTTTCATTGTCTGTTTCATCTTCAGTTGACATTTCACTTGATTCATCTCCATCACCTTGTACATAGTTCATGTGCATATGAGGATGACCAAATAATTGATGTTGTTGTTGTTCCATTGGTAAAGAATAATGATCACGATGACTATTTACTAAACCTGATGGATGGTATTCAAATAGATTATTTCTAGCTGTATTATGTAAAAATTGTTCATTTTCAGAAAACAATAAACCATCGTCCGGAAACAGAGGTTCACCTGTAATCCACGGATTTTGTAAACATTCAGAGGCTGTCGCACGAACACTAACATCATAATTTAACATTGGTTCAAGAAAATGAGTAAATTCAATAGCGTCATACGGTGGCCATTTATATTTTTCTGTTAGAACATGAAATAAATCCCATGGTTTCAAATGTTTTATATTACGAAGTTGACCTATGATGAAAGAAACATTAATAACATTAATAAAATTTTTACAAAGCGCGCATATTTTGTTTTTCCTTTTTTTAGTTAGGTATGTACGCATTTCCTTCCATGATGCTTTTTAATAATGAAAAACTTTGTTATATATGATGGGCAAGAAATGACTGGAAAAATAGTAGTCATCTTATACATACACTTTTATCTCTTGGAAATAATATCGATTAATACTACGCGTAAAAGGCTAGGATATGGTAAGAGAAAATATTGTGCGTGTGTAGTTAAAAACTACTCTTGTCCCTCATTACCTCGTTTGCTAAAAAATTCTCTGGAATATCTTCCTGAGTGTGCTATTTCAACAGGAATAGGTCCCAATAATTCAATAATATGTGCAATATGATCTTCATCTCGACTGTAATCTTCACCACTATGTGGTTCAAATAAATAATCACCAGTGGCCAATTCAAATGCCTAATTAACCAGAGAATAAATATGAAAATGAAATAGAAAGTGAGCATAATTTCACTTACCATACAAGCAACACTCCATATATCGGCAGATGTATCGTAACCAGATCCCAAAATAACTTCTAGCGAACGATATTGTCGTGTTTGAATATCTTCTGTAAAATGTTGATACTAAAAAGATGTAAGATGGTGAAATATTCTGGTTATTTTGTCTTCAGACAAAGTATTGCTTACTGTCCAACAAGCATTTCCTAAATCAGCTATTTTCACTTGTAAGATCTCGTCTGATACAATTTCTGTGACAGGATTTGGTGTTCGTTCAGCCATTGGACGAGCTAAAGCAACGTTATAACAACATGAATCATTCTATTCCTTGAACTCACATTCATCTTATGCTTCAGTGACCTCATTGTTATGAGAAAGCACCTTTTACATCTGTTAACCCTTTTTTAACATACCTGCAGACATTGTAGCACTTGTTTCTGGTTTATTTGAATTTTCTCCAGCAATAGCAGCTGCTGCAGCGAGCGCCGCAGCTTCATTCAACCTAAAACATTTACAAATTATGCACCTTATTAAAGTATCGTTTCGGAAACGTAGTTGAAATGAAATAAAAATAGTAACTAGTTTAAGTTAAGCAAATGATTGCACGAAAGAAATCACTAACCATTGTTCTGATTGTTTTTGATTATTTTCTGTTGTTGTGGTGATACTATTATTATTTGCCGTTTGTTCATTACCATTTATTAACACGGAATCCGCTGATGCATTACCCTTCAGTTCCGTTTCAATTTCATTTTCATCTTCATCATCATCTTCCTCGTCTTCATCATTAAACACGATAGCTGATGATTCAGGTTTTGTTTCACCCGATTGTGAACGCTTTGATTTTTTTGATTGTTGCTGATGTGATTTATCTTTGTATCCATTAACATTCGTCTTACTTAACACTGGAAGAGATGTTGTAACGTTGGATGACGTCGTTTCACCCGCAGTCAAGTTAACATCTACGAAGATATGAAATATTTCAATAGTGAGTTAGATTATATAAACTAGATGCCAACTGCTCTACGGGCAGACTGGAATGCCGACCGAATGAAATGTATCTTAGAAACACCTTAGACACCATTTGAATCCCTTACATACGATTAGAAAACTGTAGTGCTCTAGTAGTAAACATATCGATGCATTCCTATCGGTAGTAATATTTCTTTTTATGAATCCATTAAACTATACAGAAGTATACTGATAAGTAGCATGTGATTACTCAATGAGTCATCGCATACTGTTCATACTGAATGTATATGAAGTGTCACGTGACAACTAATTATCCTATAGAAGAGTTACTGAAAATATGCTCAAGTCTTGGGACTCATTACTTAATAACTAAAATATGAATCGGAAAAACAGCTTCAGCTGTGTCATCTACAGCTGTTGTACTCTCAAATGATGTTTTTCCCAAATCTGTACGATAGCTGAGAACGAGTGGCTGACTCGAGCGAGAAAAGTGTGGGGAAAGAAAGAAGAATTTTTTGTGGTGAAATAGAATAAGCCTCCTCGACTTTCACTCGGTCGGCTTAATAATTAGCACATGAATATTTACTTGGTGTTGTTACTGGTGTATTCGAAACATCGGATGTTGTATTGTTCTCATCACTAATAACCATTTTATTTAAATTAATTTGACTTGGCGAACTAAGAAGATTTTGTTTTTGTTTTTCAGCTTCCTTAAATAATAAAATGATAGCAAAGTCAAGAATAAAACTATAGAATAACTTTGATCTTACTTGAATCTGTTGTTGGGTTATTTCTAACATTTTTTGTTTAATTTTCTCTTTCTTTTTCAATTTTTTCTTTTTATTTTTGGACATTTTAGACGGATCTTGCTTATTAACAATATGTGCGGTTGCCACTACGAACAAAAACAAAACAAATTGTTCTTTTCAATTGCATTCAAACGAAATTTATACTTACCAGCAGATCCAACTGGTTTAATTCCTGGTTTATGCCATTCGGCCGCTTGATAAGCCAGTGCTCTTACATGTTCTTCGTCGACACACATCAACACATTTTCTGGTTTAATATCAGTATGAATAATATGACATTTTTTATGTAAATAATCGAGACCTTGTAGAACTTGTTTAATAATTGTTTTAACATTTTTTATTGGTATACCACGATAATTTGAACGTATTATTAATTTTAATAAATTATGACCAAGTACTTCGAATACCATGCACACATGAGTACCATTGATACCTGATACTTTAAAATCATCTAATAATTGTACACATTTTAGACGAAACGGATCAGATGGATCCGTATCCCGGACATGTGATAATAGTTTTATTTCATCCAATGCTGTCTCAGTATAATGTCGAGCACTTTTAACAACTTTCATAGCCACAAAACGTGCCGATTTTCGATCCCAACATAACCAGACCGTAGAAAAATGACCTTAAATAAATAAATAAATTAAATAAACAATAATATTCTTATCTAATTGTTATAAGATATTTTTTTTTGACATTTAAGTTTACTTACCCCACCCTAATTTTCTAATAACATGATAACGCTGATTAAATACACACCCAATTGTAATCGGATGATATCCTCCCTTACAATAATCTTTTGGATCTTCTTGTTCATCATCATCTGATCCGCTAATTATAAATAAAAAACAAAATATATACTCTTCAATAGCAGAATATTTATCATATATTTACCGTATATCATGAGCATCGTCTTCATCTTCATTTTCACTAACTTGTTCTTTTATATTTGATTGTATTGGTAATAAATCATTACGCAATGCACTAAAATAAAACGAACAAAAATAAAATAGAATTCTGCAAGTTAATATATATATATATATATATAACTATTTTGTCGATAAAAAAGAAATATACCTTGTATTTGGAGTTGGAAGACTAGTCGATAGTCCACTACTAATTGTAAGAGATGAATCGGACTGTGGTAGTGACGACACATTATTAGTAGTATTTTGTAGTGTCGTTGATAATGGTGAATCAATAGAAACTGTTGGTGTAGTAGGAGTGGTCGTAGCAGGCCTAGCGAAAAAACAAACAAAAGAATACAAACATATAGCAAACAATAGCATTTAACAGCGTGACAATAGTAATAATTGTTAAAATTGAGCTATTTATAATCTTAACTCTAATCTAATCTTACCCTCTTACCTATAAGTGTCAGTTAGTTCAATATACGTAGTTTTTATTTTAGTCCTATCATTATTCGTATAATATGAAGTATTTATTTGTGCTAATTTAATTGCAGATGATTGTTTATGAGTATTATCTTTCTCATTTTCATATATTGGTGCAAGACCACAAAAATGTTTTGCATCTAATTTCATTTTTGGTTTTAAAAGTGGTGCTAAAACGTTAAAATCATTAATTATTAGTTTATTATTTTTATCATTCACTGTTAAAGATTGTAATGATTCAGAACGATTTAATTTATTATTGTTATTTGTAGTCGTAGTGATTGGATAAATTTTTTGTATATGAAAATTTGTTTTTTGACTTATTAATGGTAATGATTTTAGATTAACATTAATTTCAGAATCCCAACGAATATTTGTTGGACGAAGAACAGTTGTTGGAGATAATGAAAAAACTGTTGTTGGTGAACGATAGACATTTGAAATAGGCAATGACCTTGTAGGAGTTTTAGCATGTGAAAAGTTTAATAATGAATAACGTTTATTATCTGATTGATGTCGAAGGTTACTAGTAATTGATTCTGAATTCTCGAATAAAATCGGCATTTGTTGTTGACTTTTGAATGATAACGGATAAGATGAACGATACTGTTGTTGTTGTTGTTGTTGTTGTTGTTGCTTTGATTGAAGATGATCATTATATGATGATGGATTAGGGAAAAATGAATCTAATAGACCATCGATGGCAGAACGATAAAATGGCGATGGTGAATCAAGTTTTATCATAATTATTTGAATTAGTATAAAAGTTCAATCGAAGAAAAAGAATAAAACATGAAGTACCTCATTATGCGTATACGTTCAATAATGTTAAATGATGCATTGTCCTTGTTCCTTTCTCATATTAGTCTGTGTACGTATATATAGATAAATATCGTACACACGTCCAATCATGCATATCATCATCTGGACACATGCACGAAAAAAACACTTCTTTTGTTCTTCTTTTTCTTCACATATGATTTTCTTTTCTTCTTGATAATATTTTGAAAGAAACGTTCTTTTTTATTGTGTCAAATTATCCTTTATAGGTGATGATCAAAATGAATCGAAATATGTGATGCTCTATCTATTTATAAAAGAAAATCATTTTTGAAATCTCATCTTCTTATCTTTCAGTGTATCAGATAATATCAACGATCGACACTTCGATTTCATCAAGTTTAAGTGAAATAAATATTGACGTAATCAAATGAAGATTTAGGCGAATAAAATCTGTAATTTTAATAATACAAAATCCTCGTGATACAGATAGGTACGAGATAATCAAGAAAAAACCTTACAATATATCAAATATGTGAAGTGGGTGGATTCAAGTACATAATTAAACAGCTCTTGAACTTCAAAACTATAAATATCTGAGGATATTTGTGATTAAGTGCTAAAAGTTGAAATTCACTATGAGAAATTTTTATTCCTGGGCCATCCGAAAACAAGTGCGTGTATAAATACCGTACCAAAAAAAACAATTCATATGCACAAAATAGTAGTGTTTTCCATCTACATCACTGTTAAAAATATCGCCCATACTAAAATTCGGTTATCAGAATTGCTTTTATTGAACTTGAAAAATTTTCTAACTAGAAACACCTTTTGCATATATATTTTATAGTCGGTAATAACTGCTGAGCCAATCAAGATGAACACATCATCCCTGCATCGAAATGTCTCTCTCAGCTGTCAGTTTCATACATGTGCACATTTCTGCTATTTAGAAAACGAAGACCATTTCATAATCTTCAGCCACTTTTCATACTTCTTCGTACAACAGTCATCACTCATCATTTTCGACTCGAAACTTTCATGAAGCAATGTTCTCTTGACAGCATTATTCTCATAATAAAATATAGAATGCATCGGGATTTGAATCAAATTGTGTTAAACAAAATTGAGCCTCTATCCTCACCATACCATGTCCATCATAACCACATAAATACTCTATATTCAAGTCAATATCGATGTAACCATATGAATATCTACAAATCACACTTGAAACATTTACCATCGACAGAAAAGTGTTCTCTTCTCTCTGCAAATATCTTATTTCTCAGAAGAACATATCGATGGCTCTTAACCTTAGTCAAAATGCCATGAAAGATGGATGTCTCAAGGATGATTCAGACGAGAAACTGTGTCGCTTAATTCAGTAAACTGTAGATCTCAAAAACCATTACCCTCTCCTACTATCGTACAATAATCATGTGTTTTAGAAACAAGGGTATAAAGTCGCAAAAATATTCCGAACGAGAGGAGAGTTCTTCTATAGCTGTTGAAGTGTTGTTCTTCCATTACGACCACGTTTGATCCAAATGCCGATTAGGCATGCAACAATCCGATAGTTCGGGCACCGAACTATCGGAACATGTTCGGCCTGGAAACTTGACGCGACCGAACGTATTCGGACGAAGATTACAAATACGATAGTTTATATTTTTCTCATCGGAGATGTCGGCGAGCGCTCTGTTGAGGAACTATTAGGACAAAATACCATAAACCTTATAAAGACACATTCGAATTAGGACTGCACCTTCCTGTCCACTTTATTTGCACAGTGAGGAAAAGCATTTCTGCATGAAAACAAAGTAAATTAATCTGCTACAGAGGCCACATTAGTAAAAATATGCTGTAGTTAGAGAGTAAATAAGATATAATGGAACCTAAAGGTACTTGGAACTTCCTGGACCAAAACAAACTTAAAATTGCTTCTCTAACTCAAACTTTTCTTTACATGACTATCTACGGCTGCGGCGTAATCATTTTTAAACCTTTCGTAGCGAACCATTCGCTGATCGAACATGTTCGGTAGCGATCCGATAGAACACACATTCGCTCACGTTGTAGTTTGGTTAGCCTGAAGGCTTCTGGTTAGTTCCTTCCCAAAGCTTAAATTTCATTCCGTTTGTCTTTAGTCCAGACTAGGCATGCAACAATCTCAAGCTAGGACTCGCTGATCGGTAGCGAACATATTCGGTGCCGATCAGCAAGTCCTGGCTTGGGATTGTTGCATGCCTAATGCCGATGCATGCTACACTCTGTGAGAATAATGCTGTCAAGAGAACAGTTCTTCATGAAAGTTTCGAGTCGAAAATGATGAGTGACGACTGTTGTACGAAGAAGTATGAAAAGTGGCTGAAGATTATGAAATCGTCTTCGTTTTCTAATGTGCACATGTATGAAACTGATAGCTAAGAGAGACATTTTGATGCGAAGATAATGTATTCATCTTGTTTGACTCGTGACTTATTTACATGTAGCGATACAAAGTAAAAGTCAGTTAGACAATTGTTTTTAATTATAAAATCAGGTCATTTGTGATATCTAATCATGGTGAAAAACTAAATGCTTTTCTTTCTTTTAATCCATCAATGTTATTACGTTTCTATGTTGTTTATATTCTACATTGTAACTTAACAGAGTCAATGTGTATGTTTATATGGTCGAGTATATTTCAAATGAATAAAAAGAAAAGCGAAACAGACAAATATGAATTCTATTACATCTATTAGTTGTTGTTAGCAATTAAAAGAAATATGTTGTGCTATTAATAACGAGAATATTTTCTTTTCTTCTCTTATGTTTTCTCTTTTTTCTGCTTTCATGAAACATAAACAAATGAAAAACCATTATATTAAATGAAGAACCTAAATCACTTTAGACTTTTCCTATTAACAAAAAGAATTTTTCTTCCAAAGACCGCGATCGGTGTTTAAATATTAACAAAAATGGCAACAATCTACAAATGAGCTTCTACAGAAAAGATCAGACACTATGTACTCAAAAAATTTGTTACACTTCATCTGTATTTTTCGGCAATGGGTAACAAACATTCCAGATGTTCCAGTATACAGGAGTTGTCGAGGAAATTGCATAGTCATAATCGAGATCGCAAAATTCGACATCAGAAATGTTTTCTAAGTCTTTAGTAACTAAAGAAAACTTCACACCTTTTTTATGTTTACATGGTTTGTCACAACTGTCAACAAATTTTCTCTTCTCTGTCATTGAATTTTGTATTATGTATTGAAAGTGCTCAATCATTTGAAGAATCATGGACGCTAGGAAAGTAACGGAGATAATGAATAACAACATCACGTTTGGTAAGCACGTTCGTTTCAAGACAACGTATTATAAATAACAAGATATACAGTTCATCAAAAATTCCTTCAATCGCGCCAAAAATTTTTAATAAACAAAGTTATAATTCAGTTCAACTGTTACACATGCGGCTGACTTGCCGTTTTTTATGCCGACAAGTAGAGATGTTAAGCGAACAAAAAGTCGATGATGACGCGAAATTTGTTAAAAAAATAGGAAAAATTCAGGAAAATAAAGTAATTTATTTAAAAAACCACTAGTATTCTTCAACAAAATCTTTCATCAGCAGCGACGCAACTGATAACAAAACGAACAAGTAATAGCCCAGCGAAAACGATTAAAAAACGAGACTTCTGGTCACTTACAGCTTTTTTTGAATTAGATCACGTGGTGGGCGAGGTTTACCATTCTTGGCTCGACGTTTTTTTGCTTGAATGGTTCGTGCTAATGCTAGAATAAAAAACAAATAACAATATCCTGATCTTAACTCTTATGGAAATAATAAATGGGTTCAGCTTGGTCAGTAAACAAAGTAGTTATCAAATTAGTAAAACTAACTAGCGACTGTAAACTGAATAGTTACACATTAGTTACTAATATGTCAAGTAAAGCTGGTCAAGTTCGTGCATTTTCTGTTGATTTTCCCAAAAAATTGTTACGCTAATTGCAACATTAACCTTCAATGTTACTCTTCATCTACTAGACAGCACTTTACGAACAAGGAGGGTGTTTCATAAAAATTCTTAAGTGTTCGACTTAACTAAGTCTAGACTTAAGTCAAATTTAAGTATATAAAATTAACACATAAGTGTACAGAACGGAGACTTAAGTTTAGACTTAGTTAAGTCGAACACTTAAGAATTTTTATGAAACACTCTCAAGAAACCTAAACTTTCAAAGTTTCGAGTTTTATTATTGCTAACAACCGATAGGATAATGAGCGCTACCAGAGAGTGTCATGTTTAGCTACTTACATGGAGCAGCATTGGAACCGGACGTTGTTTTCGGCATATTCCACAAATATTAATATGTAAAATGAAATAATTTTAGTTTATGCGAACTTCATGGCTGGTTGTCTTATATGAACAAAAAGAAAATGATTCCAGTATAAAGTTTAATATCTTAAAGGAAAGAAAGTAGGACATGAAGTTAAGCAATGCTGAAAGTTAGCTCACAGTAAACAAAAACAATATGTGTCGTGGTTACAATCTACTTATACACTCATTTTCTTCAGTTATAAATAGATCAAAACGATATTTCAATTCAGAATGAGTGTGATTATCTACGTAGTTGTCTGTCTGATCATTCAGAATGCATATGAGTCCACGATGACAAACTGTAAGAAAGTTACTCAGTTTTTTATAGTAGAAAAAAACACATTATCCATTAGTTCTAATGATCGAGAACTTAGGTAGTTAGGCATTAACGAGACATTTTTCGGAATTTTTAACCAATGTACTCTTCAAAGACTGATCAAGTTAAATTCAAGCGTTAGTCAGTCATAATATCGATTTATCGTCTGAAAAACGTCTTCTGATTCAGCAGTCTTATTTAAAAAATAAAATATAGGCATAATGGTCGCTTATTTTCATCTATTTTGACACATTACTGCACCTTTCTAGAAGTGGAAATTAGAGAAGTGGTGCTGATGAGTGATGATGGCTGCATGGATCGCTCTTATTGGCTTATTGAATCCAGTAGTACTGCAAGCCTATCCTTGTTTTACCGCGTATGAATCACGAGAAGCTGTCAAATATCAAGAACCAAAAGAAAAGGGAGAATTATATTAAGGAGCACTTGGATGTTACGTATATCTCACTTAGGTTAATACAGTTTTTTTTACCGTACTTCAATTAGTAGCGGTGTCAGTATTTTTATGATGGAAGGACTGAGTCCCACAAATTTTTGAATAAAGTTTACACAGTAAAAATCCACGCATTGGCGAAAGTATAACGAATCGTTAAACCTTCATTTAAACGATCCGCCTGTATTACATGAACTAGTTGCCCTAGAGTAAGTGGAAGTAAAACTAGCATTATGGGTTTTCTTTCAACGTTAAGTGAAAGTTACTGAATTCTCTCACGAATTAAATTTTACTTGTTTAGGTATGCTAAAGCATTCACTTTTTGGATCGTGCATTAATCATAGTTGACACGATTGATCAAGTTTTGCTACCATTTTGGGAACCGCTGTTTACGGGAAATGACTGTCAGTCATTAAAATAAGAACTGATTATTATTCGTTTGCAGTCCATCTAAAATATTTATTTTGAAAAAGATATGATGAATCAATATCGTATTTCATAAAGTGCTTCTGAATGAATTATTGAATGAATGAATTATTATTCACGAAAAGTGAGAGTCATCAAAGGTCGCCGACCTATAAAACAATGACTCGAGCCGAACAACAACAAAAGAATCTATAAATAGAAAAAAAGAATAAATAAATAAATAAATAGGTAAATAAATAAATAAATAAAAGATAAAAACTAGTGTAGTGTACGAAAACAGATAGTAAAGAAGAATAAAAAAGAAACAAAAATAAAATAAAATAAAGTAAATAAAATAAGAGTAACAGCACTAGCT